GCGACTACTTGACAATTAGTGAATGCCTTGTGATGATAAACCATTCAGATAAACCATTGAACTCAAGAAGGATATGGAATATGTTAAGTCGAGCTAATATTTGGGTCTAAGAGGACTCTGGGGGATATTTTTGGTTTGAGTTTCGGACATTTTCACAAAGCAATAGCTTCAGGGGTTTATCTAGTCCCCTTATCTCCAGAAAATCTGAAATCCATATAAACTTGAAATTCCATTCGGCACTTTCCCGCTTTTGATCAGGATTCTTCTATAGAAGAATGTTTCAAAGTAATTATTAGACTCATAGCTTCCCGCCTACATATTAGATTGCCAACCAGCTGCTAAACCAATACGTGAGCTTTAGAATTACAAAGCCCATCTCTCTGCTAAGTGGATTACATTAACTCTGGATAAGTTACTTATTTCTCAAAAACCACATCTGCTTTACATACTGGCTTTCACTGAAGACTGCCTCGCACAGTTCATGGACTCTGTGGATTTCCATCTCGGGAAAATGGGTGCTGGTCTGATGGACAGCAAAGCTAGAAAGGGTGACTTCTGTTGGAAGAACAAGGCATCTCTCTGTCATGTCAGTTTGCAAAAGTTTAGGGTCTTAGAAGCTCCCTAACACTCTTAAAAATGCTGGAGAACATTGAATAGTTTTAGTAAATGGGGATTATATATATGAATACCTAGCTTATTATAAACTAAAACAGAAAAGTTTAAAATATCCACTTGATTCATTTAACAATAAGAATAACACACCCATAATAACATGACCTAAATCAAGATATTGTCCAAAGTTAAAAAAAGGAGTGAGAAAGACAATGCTTTATACTTTTACCAATGAGTTTAATGCCTAGCCGACTCGAGCCAGCATGATTGCCATATCTGCTTTTGCAGCCAATCTGTTGTGAGATCACACATCTTATTGCTGCTGGAAAACTCTATTGTACATTTGTGAGAGGATGAGAGTGCAGAAAGGAAAGATTGTCTTAATATAGTATGAGGATTGGTTTGACCCCACAGATGTCCTGAAAGGGCCCTAGGGACCTCCGGGCTCTTTGGAGTCCATTTTGAGGAAGGCTGCCCTGTAGTATTTCCTCACCACCATCCTCCTTGGCTTCCCGACTTCCCGGAAAGACATGGGGACTTTACCTAGTCTTCCAAATTTTGAGAAGTGTACTTCCACCCATTAACTCTGCCATGGAAGAAGATATAGATTTTAGCCAGGCATCTTGATTGACTTCCTGTCACTAATTTTGTGTGTGTGCATGTGTATGAGTGTGTGACCCTGGGTAAGTCATTTCTCAGTGTTCTCAGATTAAGAGGAAAATTGGCTTTGACCTGTAACTTTCTACCTGAGATACCTAAGTACTGGGTGCATTACCCAAATTATTCATGGGGACTAGAAACCCAGAGATTCTATAGCCATTGCCTGATTTCAACACAGCATTTCCCCACATAGACCGCAACCTCTCCAATGTGTTATCGAAGTCAGTTGTGTTCATAATGTTTATTTAAAACCTAAGAGTTTTATCTCTGTGCCTTTTAGTCATGATATGTCTTCTAAATAGGTATTTGCAGTTCCACTGCTAACATGTAAGTAGCTGCAAAATCACTTGAGGTTCAAATATAGAAAGGGGTTCTCTTTGAGGACATCTAAGAAGTGTTTTCAAGCTGTGATATAAAATGGTTGTGCTGTCTTATTCTGACTCTATCACAAACCATTGGGGCAGATTGCATTTCCCAGGGATGGCCACGACACCGTCTACTGTCCATACGTTTTTCTACAACATGGCTTTGCCACTTTTCCATCAGGGGTAGAGTGTCACCTTCCCTCCTAGAATCTGAGCTGGCCTTAATGATTTACCTGGAACCAATAGGAGGCGCCAAAAGCGAGAGTGCATGATCTCCGAGGGTAGATCAGAAAAGACCATGCAGCTTTCTCCCTGACTCTCTTGGGCTGCTCCCTCTGGGAGAATCCAG